TTCCTTTAGCTGTCTTTTTGGAATTGTTCTGTTTTTTGCATCCTCTGTCTCTTTCTCTCGCTCTCTCACATAATTTGAATGAAGAAATTTGGATCTTGCAGATATAATGCCTTATCATCACGCCTAATAGCTTCTGCTGCATTCACTTTAAATGATCATTGTACGTTGTGGCACAGAATCCTTTTTCTTGCAGTTAGAGCAGAAGGAAGCCCTTAATATGTGTATGAAGTATCTTTGATTGTTTTTCCCCTCAGATATACAATCATATACAAAAGTTTGGGTGCCCTGGTCAAGTTACATGTTTTGTTGTTTTTCTAAGTTACCCGCTACAGCAGGGGTGTCTTATCTTATGCTCAGAGGGTCAGTGTGGCTGCAGGTTTTCACTCCAGCAAAGCAGGAGATCACCTGATGAAATATTTGAAGACTAAGACCAACTGATTAAACAATTAGAGTCAGGTGTGCTCCAGCTTGTTTGGAGTGAAAACCTGCAGCCACACTGGCCCTTTGTGGATAAGACTGGACACCCGTGCTCTACAGAGAACGCTCTTCTGCACATTAAATGCACAATCAAGGTTCATTTCCTGAATTTAACGTATTGTAAAAAAAATAAAACATAAAATCTGGCCTGTGCAGAAATTATGGTGCATCTTAAATTTTATGTTTTATTCTATTCCAATGTTATGTTAAACTCAGCAAACAAATTAATGTTGTGCAACATTTGCAGAACAATGCAATATTTAAGAGTGTTTTCTGTAGATGATATTTTAACATATTTTCCCTGAGCAAATCAACAGTACATGTAATTTAACCAGTTGTGTTCTTCTGTAGCTGTGTACATGCTCTTTATTCAGATAGAGTGCTGCTAATTACAGATCATCTGCTCCCTAGCAAGCATAGGGATGTGCATTCAAACATGTGCAAAATGGAATTCCACTGATTTTTTAAATGTGGGATGTAGTTTTTTAGTTTTCTTTAAATATTTTACAGATAGTAGCTTAAATTACTGAAATAGTGTACAAGACAATTAAAGACAAATGACAAAAGAAAAATAAAAAAAGAAAAGGGATATAATCCTTGCAGACCTTGAAGAAGCTGGTAAAATAATAATAAGTTGTTGATATGAAAATGTTCAGTGTTATGAAATGGGAATAAGGGAAAGGCCATCCACATAAGACAGGAAAAGTTTCTATTTGATTTTCTCTAGAGTGAGAAATGGCATCATATCTCTTATCCAGTGTCCAGAAAGAGGAGAAAGACAACTCTTCCAGTTTAGTAAAATTAAGCACCTTGCTATAAGAGAAGCATATGCTGTTGTTTGGGACTGGCCACTGGATGAAAACCAGTATTCTGTAGTGACATGAAACAAATCAGTAAGTGGAATGGGTTCCATATGAACAATGCTTCAGTTGTCTGGTTCCTGTCACCACCACTGTGAGCAATTTTTCTATTGTTTGTGTGGATTTATGAACCAGTTTATTTTTACATGACCATTTTCCAGCATCTCTTTATCCCTTAGAGTTAAACATGCTTTTTTTGTTACTGTGCCGTCAAGGCTAATATATGTAAATCACCTTTGTGTACTTCATTCAAAAAGAACTCTAGGCTAAACCAATTCTTACTTTACTAAAACTTTAGTGTGAATGTGCGGGGCTAAACTAGTAGGCTGGATAGGTGGAAGTATGTAAATTTGGCTTTTCATGACCTTACAAAAACAATACATTTAAAATGGAATGTTTCTGCAGCCTGGTTTTCAATTATGGACTGTATGGACTGGGGAGCGAACCTTTTAAAGCATTAACAAATATTTACATATTACGTCAAATGCTTTTATTCCAAAACAGCAAGGAAATTTGGGTTCTCCATGATATGGGCCCTTTTGAGTACGCAGAGCAGTAAGAGTCAAGCTTCATTTGAGTCCAGAAGAGATGTATAAAGATGTCCTTCTAAATTCTTCAGCTGAAATTGTCTCTGCAGGGTGGCACATCTCCAGTAGGTTGGGGCACCAAGCGTTGCGAATCGAGTTTAAAAATAGTAAAGTATCACATTAAAGCGTGTCTTTCACTGAGGATCTTTTGTTGGCCTTCCTGAAATCTATTAAACCCTAAGGCTGTCTGTACACTCCAGCAGTTAGGGGGTTATTGATTCAGATGCCCACAGATGTTTACCCCTGCAGCTTCACATTTAACTCTATTCACTCGCTGCTTATCCAGCTATGCTAATTTGTTTATTGCTTTGGGTGATGCTTGGGGACCTTGAGTAATATAATTTTCTGAAGAACTTCATTGAAATGAAAAATTGAAATGCTGAAATGTGTAAACAGACTGAGATCAATGTGTATTTAGATTATTATACTGAGTAATGTTTGACCTCCAAAGATTTTCATTAACTTGGAGACTGGCAACTGCCCTTACCACAAATCCTTCTTTACTTAGGATTATTCCTTCTGTATTCATTTTTTCCTTTCTAACCGTCTTCCTTTTGCCTCTAAATTTGAACCCATTCACTCAGCGAATCTAAAGGCCTGTATGTTTCTGAGTTGCGACTATCTTACCATCAGATACTGTACTGTATGTCTGTACAATATAATGTTAAATATAAAAATGCAACCAATAACATTATCATCCTTAACAGTTCTGGAACAGATTTTTTTTTTACTTGGGCTGTAGATTAATTTGTCTGTTAATTAATTTGACTGTTACACCAACGGCCGCTTCATTAAGTACGCCTCCTTGTATCTTCACTCATTGTCCATCTGTTTCTCTGCATACTTTGTTAGCCCCCTTTCACCCTGTTCTTCAGTGGTTAGAACCCCTCAGGACCACCACAGAGCAGGTATTATTTGGGTGTTGGATGATTCTTAGCAGACGTTGTGGTGGCTTGTTTGTGTGTGTTGCGCTGGTATGAGTGAGACAGCGGTGCTGCTGGAGTTTTTAAACACCTCAAGGTGTCCACCAACCAAACATATCCAGTCACCAGGGTCCTGTGGGCAGCATCCTGTGACCACTGATAAAGGACCAGATAATGACCAAACTGTGCAGCAACAGATGAACTATTGTCTCTGACTTTACATCTATAAGGTGAACCTACAAGGTAGGCATGTCTAATAGAGTGGACATTGAGTGGACACAGTAAAGAGAAAAACCCCAGCAGCACTGCTGTATCTGATGCACTTATATGCCACCACCACATCAGTGCAGGGCTAAGATTGATCCACCACCCAAATAAAACCTGCTCTGTGGCAGTCTGGACTATTGAAGAACAGGGTGAAATGGGCAGACAAAATATTCAGAGATGGACTACAGACTGTAACTGTGGAACTACAAAGTGCGCCTATATGGTAAGCGGAGCTGATAAAATGGACTAGAGTCTAGATACTATTAAGTGTACTTAATGAAGTGGTCGTTCAGTGTGTATGTAGACAATAAATGTCCTCTGTGCTTTTACTGCTTATGTGTAACATTTCATTTTGGTGCATTTAGACATAACAACCTCTAGTATATTATCACGAGCTATTTTATAGCCATATAAATTCACAAACAGTAAAATTCTATAGCCTGTGCCTATGTGGACAGATCCTTTTCAATACATACAGGAACATCTGCCAGGTCTAAAAGCTTTCTAAATCTGTTCTTTTATGATACTAGGTGACATACAGCTTATATAAAAGAAACAGAACTAACAATTTTTACATTATAGTAACTTTATGTTGTTTTTTATTCTGTTTCTGAGCATTTAAGGTTTCTGCTACAGTAAATACAAGAATATAAAAACTACTTGATTATTTTTTTTCTTTGGAGAAGAAGGACAGATGGAAAACCGACACTGAATGCCCCATCCCACAGTCCCTCACCCCTCAGACATGTCAGTTCGATCATGGCATCCGAGACAAGATTTGTTTTATGTGAAAATTAACGTTCACCATAGACAAATCTCTCTCAAAAACAAGTCCACAGAAACCTGACCTGGTAAAGTCAAGGATAAATATGTACATTTTTATTAACCCCTGCATAGAAGCAATTTCAGGGCTGTGCTCATGTATCATGATGTATTTACCTGCAGGCCAAGCAGGCTCAGACTGGAGTAAATTATATTTGATAAAGCCTAGCTAATACTGACCTCTATTGGTGTATTTTTGTCTATTTTATAAATGAGTCCCCACATGTCTAAATTGTGGCAGTAGAATTTAATTTTTTTTTAACACATCAGATTTACCTCTGTGGAAACCCATCTTTCTATTGAATCAACAGTAAGTACAGCTGAGGCCCTGCCAGTCGCTGTCAGCACAGCTTAATCAAAAGACTCAGTGCTTTCCTATCTACTTTGACCTTGTTAATCCAAATTAAACCAAGATAGTCATCTTTCATATGAAGTTGGCCGGTTCAAGCTTCTCTCTGCGGCCCGTTCTTCAACTAATGTGACATGTGTGATGTTATTATTGTAGATGTCTTTGTTTGCCAGAGTTTTGTTCAGACTTTCCTGTTTAGTCGCCTTGCTGCTTGTAAGAACATTCTGAATCGCAAGTTTTCACTTTGTTCCATTCCACAGTTTCAGTTTGATGTTTTCCAAATAGCAAACCATTTGTGCATGTGAAATTGCCATGCCAGCAGTGCCTCAAGACTTTAGGCAGTTTCTTTGATTTCTTCTTTGATTTCAATGTCCTGGATTTGTGCATTAAGCAGTTGCACACTTAATCATCCCATAGCACATAAGCTGATGTCCAAAGAAACAGTGCTGTCGGTGGGCTAGTGAACTATTAGAGTAATACCAAAGTCTTTGAGATTCTAGATGGAGTTAACTAGGCTTTTTTACTTTATTAATTTACTAGGATGTTGTGAGAAAGTATGTCCTTCAAAAATGTATTTATCTGTTTATTTCTGATGGTGGATCATTCTCAGCACAGTAGTGACACCAACGTTATAGTACCATGTTGGTGGGGGTTGTGCTGAAATTAGGTTTTGACCCACAATAAAACATGTGCTTTTCTTCTCTCCCTATCCCAGCCTCTCCTGACCATCACCAGCACCACCATGAACTACCTGCGCAGGCGTTTATCGGATAGCAGCTTTGTAGCCAACCTGCCCAATGGCTACATGATGGACTTCCAGAGGCCCTCCGGCTCCAGCAGCTCCACCAGCTCCCCAGCCTCACCCGCCACAGAGAGGAGGCAGCAGCCTGCTCAGCCAGCCCAGCCCCAGGCCCCAGCTGCTGCCTCCGGCAGTTTCCTTAGCTCCTTCTCCAGCGTGGTGAAAACAGCTCAGATAGCCAGCGCAGTACAAGCCAAAGCTGCAGCTCATGGGGAGGCTGCCTCCGCTGCGCCAACAGCTAGTCCTGCTGCTCCAGCCAAACCTGCAGTCCGCAAACCCAAAGTGCTGTTAGTCATCGATGACGCACACACAGATTGGTAAGAGCGGTTCTGGATACAGTTGTGAAATGACTCAGCTCAGAAGCTATTTCCATTTAGACATATTTGCTCTGACTACATATCACACTGAAAAATGATACAATTTGATACTCAGTGTAACATATAAATTCGTTGTGTATGCGCACACACAAACTCGTATATAGATGTTAATCATATATATATATATATAATTAACATTTATATAGCACAAAAATGACTGCATTTTCCAGACATTGATATTATATGAAATGTGTCATATGTACAGTCAGTGGTTCCAGATCCTCCACAACTGTAGTTTTTGCTCTCGCTCATAAAGCTATAGCCTTGCACTTTGCTGTTGTTTTTGTTAGTTTGTTGCTTGTTGATTTATCCACAGGTCTTCTGCTAGCATTGTCCAGCATAGGCTGCTGAAGGTATTGCTTTAAAACCCCTTTTAAAGTCTATATTTGAATGAAAGGGGTACAATCATGGATTCAGACACAGCAAAAAAGTATTGCCGTTAATAGGCCTGTCGCAAGGATTGCATAATGGCCTGATCACAATTATTCAAGCTGACAGCAGTTATTTTCCACAGTAGTTTATGGTGCCACAAACAAAACAGAAATTAAATAGGAGAAAAATTAGAAAACGTTGTCATGGGCCTTACAAAGTAAAGTTTTAACTTGTAACTGCTGTTATAAAATGGATAGTTCTGGTTCTAAAATATGATTGGCTGAGCCACGTTTAAAGCCGTTGTAAAATGCACGATATACGCACACTTATGAGCGTCTCAACAACTGAATTCTGAAATCGTTCATGGATTAATCTTTGACACTAATGCTGCTCTCATGGACATCGAGTGCTCTAATGAAGCAAGAACTCGTTTTTGCTTAAGCTAAGGGGCTGACAACGTATTTTCTTAACTAACATTGGATTTGTGCTATATAAGACTCGCATTGGTCATCTGGTGACCAAAAAGTACTTATAAACGAAGATTTTTGTTCATTATTATACAAAAAAATGTTAAAAAGATCATGAAATGACAGCAGTATACACTGATGGGTGACCAAACATTCTTCTCAGAACAGTTCATGGTTGCTTGGCAATGATACCATACTCTAAATGAACTACATTTCTTGGCAGAATAATTGTCTGTTTTTAATTTTAAATGATAAATTGTTTTCTGAAAAAGTGTATATTTTTCATATTTTATGTTCACCGCTGTGTTATAAAAGCAACAAGCCAGTCGAGAATTTTCATTACGGTGATTTTGTCACAGGGAATTTCTTATAAAGAAATGAATATGCAGTATATGGCGTGATTATGACAGGCCTAGGCGTTAATCATTTAGAGTATTAACTTTCACAGCCCTAATGCATACAGACTATGTAGTATTAAGCTCTTGAATACATTTCACTATTCATTGGCTTATTATACGGTTGTGAAACATGTCTTATCACAAAACAATAAGACCTTAGTTTTCACTCTGTTCAAAAATGAATCATAGGAAAATAAAACGTTTTTTAGACCACAAGCAGTCCATTAGTTTGAGGAGAGATTTATAACTCAATGATGTTCCTGCTGTTATTAGCTAGCCTGGCTAATGAGCCATACTTCATGCTTTGTTTGGCTAATGCAGAAAGCTTCAGAGATTCAGCCTGAATTATATAAAAAGCATAAAAGTACGAAAAAATGTTTGTCTAGAGAACATGCTGCTGGCACATGAGTCTGCCATTCATTTGCTGTGCAAGATTCACATTTGGCACTATTCTTTGTTTATTTGTATTCATTTTCACATTTAGTTTTCATTTTAAGATTTGTGAAATGATGGTTCAGTTTCTTCTCTCCTATGCATGAAAGGCATCAGAGTATAATCCTTGTGCTTCACACAAAGTAAAGGCTGCGTGTTACACACTCAATATCACAAATAACCTGCTTACTTAGAAGACATCCTCTTTCTGTTCCTCACAATGAAACAGGTCAACAACTTGATTTGTTCTCATACAACCTAGTCATTTCTGTAAGAGCTTCACAGGCTGAGAGGCTGCATGACTCACCCGCTGAGATTATTCTGGCCAGCTTTACTAGCTCACACAGCTACCGACAGTTCCCCCTAGAACAGTACCCTTAGTCACGGTCTGACTACCTCTGGTTCCTCAGACTAGCAACTTTGCTGCAGTGGCTTCCTCAAGAGTCTCATACTTTTAAATGGAGCACTGTGTGGCCACCTGTGCCTGACAATATCCACAACGATAAATGTTTTTCTCCTGCTCTGGTGTAAGGTAGATGATTGATAAAGTGGGGACCTAAAAAGTGCTAGCACATGGCACTACCACCAGATTCTATCCCTTCTGTGGTTACATTATTGGCTAAAGGGTCCTGAAGTCCCATCTTCATGCTGATGCTTAATGTTTTTGGCTGCACTGCAGACTCCCACAGAAGTTACTTACTCTTGCCTCATGTTTAGATTATGCATTACAGAGTTTTATCCCTAGCTCCCAGGTCCAAACGCAGAAGCTCACCACTACCACAGTGATAACTGTGACATTCCACTCCAACCAGTGGTTCTACAACTGATTTTCCTTGTAGATCCTGCACCAAAGAGGTGCTAGTGACCTTGTCTAATCCTGGTTATTATGGCCTGGAGGGGATTCCACATATGAATATGCCTTCTCTGAGTTTTTTTGGAGAGCAAGTGTGGGATGAGTGTGGGATGAGAAGTACTTTGACACTGTGGTACACTTGGGGCATCCTTGGGAGTCTCACTGCTAGTCACATTGTGCTGTTTGTTCTAATACACAGAACTTCTTGATGCTTCCCTTCAGAGCTAAATTGCCCAAGAATGTATCCCTGAAAATACGCCTTTGGCTGCTCATGGTCATCATCAGATATGGCTGCCTCAGCAAGCACCTCGTCTGGGTTGTGCAGGCTACATTGTTATGAAAATTTGCCCTTAACTAATCAGTTGAGACATTTCCTGCCAGTACTGTTGTACCACTGTTTGCTGATAAGTTCAGGAATCATGATTACATTTTTCCCATAGAGTTCGTCCAGCCACCCAGATGGCCTTTGCTATGGATTGTTATTTTTGCGGCTGCTGGGCCAGAGTCACTCCAGATGGACGGTGATGGACGGTCATTGGACAGCTGACTGCTCAGCTTTTGTGCTGCTTCAGTTTTTGCAGATTCTGCTGTATAAAATTTTGTCATCCAGGTTTCAAGTTTGCATAGCTGCTGTTTTTGCTTATCACAAGAGTGTGTGTGTATGTTATCCTTAAAAGGGGAGTGGTCACATTTGGATATTTTTTAACGTCGAAAGTTGCAGTGTCATGTATTTCAGAGAAAAAAGCGAGTTAAAACCAGATCAATGATGTCTTTGGTCATGTTTTAAAAGGAGAGAGCTGTCTATATACAGTACCCACTGATTTGCTCAACCTGTTCAAACTACGCAACAGAGATGGTGTTTCTAATATGTTCATATTGGAAGTGACATTGACTTGGAGTAAAAATGCTTTTTAATTTCACATCCTTACTGAAGTTGCAATGTTAAATGACTTGCAGTAAATGAGGGGGCATGGCAGTGCCCATACAGTGCTGATGTTGCCATGCCACAAACTGTAGAAACATATCAACTTAAGCTTTGTAGTTTCTTGTTTGACCCTCTTATTATTTTTCAGTGTTTAATGTCTCTAAAAAATTATTTGATCGGGACGAATGGGTAAACATAAAATTAACAGGATGATATCTTTTCAGTATCGTCTACACATTTTGTGCACATCAGTGTTCTTTAGGGTCAGTTTGACCCCAGGCTGTTTTAGCTGTAGAAAGCTTAAGAAATACCAACATTATACACATATTTGTTTTGGTTGTTTTAGATAGCATCGAGGTCACAACAGCATGCAATTTTATAAATTTCAAAAACTTCCCTCTGCTTTAAGGCCATAACCTAACATAACCATACCTGTGGTAGTGCGAGAACCGCTTGCTTGGTGTTTAACTGTTTGTGCAGTGAAACCCACTTGAGGCTTGCTGTTGCAAGCAGGCCTCTAACAGAATTCACTAAAGACCTCTTTGTAGTATCAACGTGGGAGATCGACACCCACTGTAAGTCCTATGGTCCCACTGGTCCCAATTGCTTGGCATTATTGCTTTCTCCACTCTGGAATTTTCGAGGTCTCCTACGTATGTAAATCAGCGTATGGAACTGGAGTCCTTCACAGACGAGCAATGTTCCCTGTTATTCCAGTGCAGCATTTCAGGCGTAATGTAGACCTGACTGCTGACATTCATTAGACAGATCAGTTACTTGTTTTCTCCTGTGGCAAGAATAGAGAGCTGCCTCTGTTGGAGAAGAGGCTTTCACACGGGGTGTTCAGATCATTTCTATGGTTTCTATGGTTAGTTCATCCAGAGGTCGGTAATCTGGTGGATGTATGTGCAGCAATTACTTGTCATCTCTGTGCACATTTTTCTGTTGCAATGGAGTTAGTGTGGCCTTTCCTCATGCAGTGATTAGCAGTCCTACTTCGGTGTGTATCAGCTAACCTATGGAATTCATAGTCATTCGTAACTAGCAATTCATGGTTATCAGTGACTAGCAGTGCACAGTTGTCTGAGTCAAGCAGTTATTTTTGCTTTTTCAGAGAGAATTACAGAGCTGCTACTTAAAATTCTGGGTAACACTTTACTGAAGGGCAGCGTTCGAAAGGCTACCTGATACCTACATAAGCTTTTCATAAACTGTCCTTAACCTATATAAACATTCCTACAGCATCAGTTGTCATAAAGGCTGATGTTGTAAATGTCAGTGTCATTACATCTCAGTAAATGTTACAACAACTGGTGCTTTTTGGAATAAGCCACTTGAGTGAAGTATTACCACCTTTTATATGGAACCTCTTAAGCAGCTCGGGTGCTTACTTGATATCAAGAGGGCTGCCAGTTCTGTTGTCTCTGCTTTCCTCTCTTTTGGTCACTGTTTTCATGTCATCGACCAGGGTGCCTAACTAAAGTTGTTCAAGG